GGAATAAAAACCATGGCTCATGTGTGGAGCAGGCTATGATCAAGCTGCCAAAGATCTCCATTGCCGCCGTCAATGGCATGGCAGTCGGTGGGGGAGTGAACATGGCCTTTGTTTGGCAGGACTACGTATCTTTGCAGCAATCAGGTAGTAGCTCAAATCGAGCGCGTCCCAAAGCTGAAGCTCAGAATATGAAGAGATTCTTCTGAAGACATTGGAATCTTAAGAGGGCTTGATTTGCAGAGAGTCCCATTAGTTTGGGCAGTTCCTCGTACTTCTTGCCTGCTACGGGAAAGCCTTCCCATCTGCTAGGCCTTCGTCAGCCAGGACAGCGCAGCCTGCAGATGTTTTCGTGCCTACGTGTGGGGTAGTTTCCCAAACTAGGGGTATTTTGATATAGACCCCCAAATGCTATGATCCTGTACTATGGGGACGCCCAAAAAGGGACCCCAAATATTGAGAAACTCCAATATGGAGACTTCCATCCCCCCCCCTCAGCGTAGGACGCGGTCTTTCGCTATCCCTTTGGCGAACTGGGCCTCGTACCGGAGTTGGGCTCTTCTGTGCTACTGCTCCTTGGCCGCCTTGACGCCGACTGCGGCATGCTCCCATGTAGTAGTACCCAAAACCCAAAACCCTATATAACCCCTTATGGTAGTTTCCATCTTCTTTTCCATTTATCCCTATATTAGTACAGGTGTTATTGCAAATGCTTTGATCTGAGCTCATCTCAGCCGAGAGTGTGATGCGAGGCCAAAGCTGATCGGTTCACTACGTGCCAAGCAGTTGATGCAGTGTCTTTGATGCAGCAAGCCCATCTGAATCGGACAATACGGCCCGCATTGACATAGTATTACATTCTTCAGTGGAAGAAGCTCGAAGGCTTCTACGCAACACCTGGGGCTCTTAGCACCTCAGTGACCAGCTGGCTGTAAAAAAGCCAGGGCAGCAAAATATGAGCTGCAGTCTAAACTCCTGAAAGGGCGTTCTGTAGGGATCTGTAGGGCATTTTATATAGGGGATTACAAAAGGAGCTACCAAGGGGGATACTAGCAGTTTAGATTATGGCTCATATAGAAGATAGTATAGCCCAGCATATTGGGAAGTGCTACATCGTGAAAGCAGGTTGTGCCGCAAGTCTTGCTGAATATACCATAGTATGTAAGAATATACTATACTTACAATACTATTACAATTAATTACTTAATACTGCTATGATAATATACTATAGTCATACTACCATAATAATATGCTATAATTTACTACTAGAATAATATGCTATAATGCAAGTGCAATATGATTGTACGCAAGTTGGACCAAGGCTTGGCACAGAGTTCTCTGCAAAGCAGGCCCTGGAGCCACCTGGTATGGATTGGATTGGGATTTTGGGTTTGAGGTATAGGGCTTAGGGTTTAGGGTTTGGGGCTTAGGGCTAAACCCCAGACCCTAAACCCTAAACCCTTTTTAGGGTTTAGGGCTCTGTGCTCTTCTTTTCGCTGTCCACCTCGTGCAATCAACCGTCCGGATCGGATGGTGGATATGAGCTGCGGACTAAATTGGGGTGGTGGAAAAGAAAATGGAAACTCAAGGGATTATATAGGGGTTATATAGGGATTAGGGTAATATGGGGGTTAGGAGAATGGAAAATGAAATGGAGACTACTATTAATAGGGTATATATTGGGGGGACCTATAGGGGACTATATAGGGTTTTGCGGTGGACCAAATTAAGGGATACACCGCAAATTTAGTTCAACCCTAAACCCTAATCCCCCTATAATCACCTATATAAACACAGTTTCCATTTCATTTTCCATTTTCTTTTCCATTTGATTCTCCATGATAGTAGGTACCCCTACTTTTGGGAAATTCCCATGGTATTAACCTGCCATGGTATTGAGCTCTGGGAATGACATATCATTTAGGTGGACCCCCCACCCAGTAATAGTCACTATAGCGGATAATAGGGATTATATTAGGGTCCTCTTACATTCCTATTATACCACTATTACAGGGTGGGGGGTCCTCCTAACATATCATACTGAATGGATTGGAGCGGAAGTCACAAACCTATCCAAGCCCCTGTGAGTTTGATAAGGATGGGCCTCTGCACAGCAGTGGTACCTCAGGAGGAGGCAGGGGAAGTTCAAAACGCCCAAGATGAATGTGTTTTGCAAAGTGACGCCTATATACTCCCTGATAAGGACCCCCCACGATCCTCATGGAATCCCTATATATCCCTGGGTTCACTACAGGGCTCCTTTACGAGACATCCCAAGATGTTCATCATGCTGTGCCCGGTGATTTGGACCAGGTCCTCAACAAAGCCCTTGAGGCTGCAAAAAGGTTGGCCGCGATGCCACAGACGCTCTGATGCTATGTTCCTGTTCGTGCTTGGACACTGCAAACAGATTCCTGGAGCAGTCATCTAATCATCACGGTTGCTACTACATTGCTGTTCGCGGTCCATCTCAGGTTCGCGCTCCGGGAATCGAAGCGCCTCCTGAACAAGGAAGTGATTAGCAAGAAGTAGATAAGATAGCTTCGATGCCAAACTTCCACAATAGTTCTCTGCTGCCAGGACATGGTGGCACGCATCGACAGCATCACTGATGACGAGCTAAACGCTTTCAAAAAGGTTGTGGCAGCTTGATTACATATCTCAGGCTGTGGAGCTTAGAGTCGAAAGGCTGGAAGTGGAACCTAGCTCAGGCCGATCCTGAAACCGTGAAGGCAATGATGGGTCTGGCAAAGCGAACCAGCATCTGCAACAGCATTATCAGCACCCCACGAAACTGCAAGAGACAAACAAGTTTTCTGATTCTGAGGCAAGTCGAAGCTGTGAGAAGTGAGCTTTCTGGCGTGAGATGTTTGGTCCATGCGCAGATTGGGGGGCTCAGCGTTTGGTCTCATCATGGCTGTGCACGTGATGTACGTGGCACGGCCGTGGTGGTCCGTTAATGCACCCGATGGCTCGCTGCCTCGGAAGTAGGATAGGTATTGCGGTTCCCAAGAAAGCCAACTCACTGGACGAGTGCGGAGTGCGTTTCTGTTCCTCATCTCCGCAATGCAGAAATGAGAAGGCCGTTGGTGCTTGGATGCTTTGAAAGGAGACTTGTGTAAGATTTGCTTAGTCCAGACGCCTGAGTTCCAGCATGTAGGAGGGCAGGATAGGGCAGCTACAGCTGTCAAGCTTCAGGTTGGGACCACTCCAAGAGTCTTCGAGCGGAACTTGGCCAGGCTGAGGTGTCCGACAGTAAATTGCATGTCTATTTTCGAAATTCATGCGTCACTTGTGCAGGCTGAGCGAGAACGCCTGCACGCAAAGCTGGCCGCTACTTTTGCGGACCTTGAGGCTGGCCCAAGAAAGCTGAAGTTGAAGGCTTTCAGCATCTCTCAGCTTACTTCGGTTCGTTCAACCTAGAATAGTAACAATAATAGTGTTAATAGTAATAGTAACAATAGTAATAATGGTAACTATAGTAATAATAATAGTAACAATAATAGGAAGAATAGGCAGACCGCGCCAGCAGTTGCATTTTTTCTGACCACACGCTGCTCCGGGGCACTGGAGGCGGCGCGGCGCAAGCAGACCACCATCCTGGCGCAGGCGCAGGCACAGGCCGCATCTTTGCCAGGGCCTTGGCTCGAGGCATGTTGCTCCTACAGCGCAGGTTGAAAGTCCACATTTGCTGTGCAACTTTGAGAGACGCGGAAAGAAGGATATGCGCTTTCTGGGACAAGTCTTGCCGCAGCGGTGTCCCGCATTCACAGTTAGAGTTTTGCTCTTTGGATGGTAGCTGGTAGCCCAAAAAACTCCAAGTGGTATTCCCAGAACTGGAGCTATTCCCGAAACCGATCCAATAGCGGCACAGGGTACAGGAGGCCATTGCGGCTGTAGCCCTAGAGGGCTTTTATGACTGTGGCCACTGCGGTGTCTGGGGACGGGGCCCATGAGGACACAAAGGATAGGACAAAGAGTCCCAGCTCAGCACCATCTTCGTTGGATCTGTTCACAGCGCACTTCATCTTGAACCACCCCAAGGTGAGGGGAAAAAGCCCTGCCGAAATCTCACAGTTGATCGAAGTTTAGAGGGGCTGCCGCAATCGGATGCGACCGGGCAGTCAGATTTCCAGCACGCATGCCCAAGTACTAGGATTAAGCCCGTCTTGCTGGGATGCCTCACAGGAGTTCTAGAACTTGTGCTTTTCAAGCATTCTTCCGGTCACAAAGCATGTGGCCGTGCGGGTAGGGCTCATGGCTCCTTCCATCACTTGCTTTCGAAGAGGCTTTCAGCTGCCAATGCTTGACTTGTCAAGTTTGACCATGATGAGTTCATCTTGTTTATTGGCTTTAACCTACTAACTTGGCCCATGGCCCGTAAGTCTGTGGCAGCGTTTTACTGTAAGGCGCGTGATGGCCTGACATGCAACGGCATTTACAGGCAGCCAAGTGGAGAGCCTCCTGCTGGGTCCAGTATGTACAGAATTGTACAGATTTATATATGAAGTTCCCAAAATTAGTGTCCCATTTTGGTACCCCTAGATCTTAGTTGAGGTAACACCATTCTTTAACCAAAAGGGGCCCATAATTTTAGGAACAACCCATATACACAATGCACACATGCAAGTTTGTATTTGCATGCACTTGAATTTGCCTGCATTTGGTGATTGCACTGGCTCGGAAAAGATGACCTTGCAGTTCTTGGAAGCTGACACGCATACACGCCAAATGATGCCGAGGTCTGGCGAGACCGGATCGAGTCCCAATAGGCTGGAGAAGTCTGCTGAATGACGGGGGCTGACTACCTCAGTAGATGTCAGCAGGCAGTGTTCGAAGTGCAGGTTGAGCTGTTTGCCTGAGCAGTCCACACCTTGTCAACACCAAACCTGCAGCACAGATTTGAGAGACCCTGACATACGGACATGCATGTTTTGAATACGAGCCTTGCTGCAGCTGCGTCCCATGCTACAGCGTCAAGCGTGGTCCTGTGCTAAGCGCGAGCAGCCCTGAGACGAACGGCGCCTATCAGAATGGGAGCTAGCGTAGCTCCAATTCTGATGGGCATCTCGGTTCCGGCCCATGGCTCGAGCTAGGGTCACTACGGCTTCAACAAGAACTATTGGATTATTTACGGCAATGCATGTGGCATGTGGTTACTACACCTACAGCCAGTATGACCTCACAAACTACGATGGCTGGAGCTGGGGAAATGAGTAGAAGCATTATGAGTCAGGACGGACAAAGTTTGCGTTTGTCCGTCCTGATTCGTAATGTTGCTCAATGCCAAAGGCAAATCCTGGTCTCGAGCGCAGGCTACACAGCGTCGTCCATGGACTTCGTCACGGAGTTCATCCTCAGCCGCCCCAAGGTGACAGCCGCAGAAATTGCGGCGGTGCTCATGCATGCGGCCTCGAAGATGGAAGCCTATGAAGATTAGGCCCTGATCTTTGAGGCCGCACACAGAGCACCGTCGGAATTTCTGCGGGGCTCTTTCCTGTTACCTCGGGGAGGCTGAGTGCGGCTTCAAATATCAATGTTTATGAAGACTAGTGCAACAAATACAATCAGCTAGCCAAGATTTCAAGCATGTGTGCCCTGGAGCTGGGATCAAGGATTCTTTGCAGGTATGCTTCTCGATGCCTCTTGGGAGTTCTGGAATCAGGGTTCGCAAACATTGCTCCCATCAGAATGCATTCGGTCGTGCGGCCAGGTCGCAAAGCTCCTTCCGCCGCTTGCTTCAAAGCAGCTTAGGACTGCCTTCGCCTGGTCTTGTCAAGTATGTCAAGTCTGA